CGTCCCACCAACTTGGAGTAAGTGGTGGGAGCGGGGTGGCGGCCGGGGAAGCGCTCATAGGCGACCGAGCAGTCGCACCCTTCGGACCCTCTGCTCCAGGAGGGCCATCTTGACCTCCTCGGGGGCCGGCTCCCCACAGTCCAGGCGGCCGGGCGGCCGCCCGGACCTGGAGCCGACCCCGGACCACCAATCGGCTCGGTCCTTATTTCCATCTCGAGCTCCTCCGGCATGTCGCTCCTGCGACGAACTCTTCTTCTCGATGAGCCCCTGGACGGGCTCCCTGGACTCGATTCGTCCGAGTACCACTCAATGTACCGCCGTCTCCCGCAGCTGCAACGCCGCTGTTCTCGCTTGCTGGCTCTTCGCCGGCTCCGGGTTCCTCGCCGACTCCTGCTCTTGTATTTTACGATTTCTCTTCTCGCTCGTGACTTGCTTCTTGGCATGTCGTTTTATCCTGTCGAAGACTGGATAACGAAACCATGGACACCCCCCCCTTTTTATACGAAAACTAGCCGTGCTCGTCGCGCGTTGCCGCGACCCACATCTGCCATTCCGCGTAGCTGCGTCGTTTGTCATCGAAAAACTCACGCTCTGATGATCCAGTACTTTTGAGTCCCTGCATTGAACATTAACCGATGCCCGCGCAATAGGAAATCAGAAGTTACTCAGTCCAGTATTAGTTCGGAAGAACTGCAGTGGGAACAACGGAGAGAGCCAGGATGCCGAATTTTTCCCCGGACTAAAATATTCCGCGAAATGATCTTTCGGTATTTGATCTAGAGACTCGAAGCAGGGTACAATTGTACAATCGAACGACATTCTGGAATAATAAACGTCTCCTACCGCGAATGACGGTAACATTCATAGAGAGTATTATATATGATGCATCTGTTGGATGCTATGAATAGATGTATGCGCCTCAAATTACCGATGTAGAGTCCCGCGGTTACCGGTGTAAAGTCCCACGGTCAACTGGTGAAGAGGTACGGGAGACGCCTCGCCGTACCGCCACAGACCAACCGGAGGCGTTATGATCATCAGAACAGGTAGTTGAACGATAGACAATGTTTGAGAAGAGTACTCGATCAATGCAAGGGAGAGTTCCTGTGATTTCAATTGAAACTCATTCTTGGTGAGAGCGGTTTCTGTGTTTAATCAATAACTTGTTGATGGACAACGTTTTTGGTCATCCTATTTGGTGCAAAAACGAATAAGTCAGATGGTTTCCCGACACGTGAGGTAGCGACATAAAGCTGTCCGTGGGAAAAACATGAATTCTCTAAATCCAGCCCGCAGACCTGGAGAGATTGGCCCTGCGCCTTATTGATGGTCATCGCGAACGCAAGTCTTATTGGAAATTGAAGGCGCTTGAACTCGAAGGGTAAATCGATCGGGATCATCGGGATCCTTGGTAGTAGAACATTCTCCCCCTTGTATTTGCCGGTCAAAATGGTTGCTTCGATCAAATTCTTCATAAGATTCTTCACTGACAGTCTTGTTCCATTACATAGTTGTGGAGGATTGATGTTTCGCAAGAGGATGATCGGAACGCCAATTTTCAACGTCAGAATGTGGGAGGGGATACCTGACAGCTCTAATGAGTTCAAGAATTCCGTCGGGTAGTTTACGGCCTCATTCTCATCGATAACTGTATCGATGGATTTGTACACTGTCGCATTGCCTGGCAACGATTGTTGGACGCTCGCGTTGACGGCATTCACATCGCAGTGTTTCGCGGCGAGTATAGCACGTTCGCTTAGCCAATCATGGCTTTCGTATCTGAGTACGATATCCGGGAAGATTTTTTCGATCAGCTCTTGTCTACTGGATGTAACCGTGCAGAAGTCTTCCGGGAGAGTTATACATCCATTGGACTTGTCGATTGGGATCTTTCCATTTCCGATGTCTAGGAGTTGACTTGCAAAGCGTTGAGCATAAGCATCTCGTTGCAGATGAACTCGCATATCCGTCTTGAGCGAAATTTTCTTCACATGGCGCCACAAAACAGACGATTTGAGGCAAGCATTCAATTCATCTGCTGGTGTCGATCGTGGTATGACAGGCAGTGTTTGCCGAAAGTCACCACTCAATAATACTACGCATCCGCCAAAAATGTCCAAGGAATCCCTGAGATCTTTCAATGAACGATCCAGCGCTTCCAAAGCTTTTTTGTGAGCCATCGTGCATTCGTCCCACACGATAACATCACATCATTTGAGAACCAAGCCCATACCGCAGTTTTTTGCTATATTACATGTAGGCGACTCGCATATGTGAAGATTTAGTGGCAACTTCAGAGCCGAGTGAGCAGTCCGACCACCATCGAGGAGTGTCGCTGCGATTCCAGAGGAGGCTATAGCTAATGCCATCCCTCTCTGAGACCGGACTTTTGCCAAGATCAGCGAGAGAAGAAAAGTTTTGCCTGTTCCTCCAGGAGCATCCAAGAAATGCAACCCACCTCTTTTCAGTGATATCGCTTGCATAATTGTACTGTAGGCATTCAGCTGCTCAGGCAGTAATTTGGAGAGATTTGTCACCACAAATTCATCCAAACAATCGAACTCGAAACATGTCTCGCGCTCCACAACACGATCATTGATGTCAATGACGGATCGTTCTACAGAGTGCAGTCCCAATTGTCCCAAACTTTTGTTAGCGATCGTCAAGCATATATCTTCCACCAGTCGGAGAGCTTCATTATGAATGCTTTGCGTGATCTGCATTTCGGGATTATCATTTGTTCTCCGCAGACGCCGTAGGATATCTTCGCTCATAGGGTCTTTAAATTTCTCCCAGAGATCTTTAGGGTCCGATGGGGAACACGTTGTCAATATGATGGCAAACAGAGTGCGTATTTGGTGCGGCACTGCAGAGGTCGATGCGTCAGCCAATGTAGAATCCCAATGGGAATCGTTTTCAAGAAGGTTCAATCTTCGGCACGCCTCTCTATAAGTTTCACACACCTCACCATCAACTGTTCTCAATTCCTCGAAAGATCGAGGTCCCCGGACATTAACTAACAACAACCTCAGGTAGAAGCATTCGTGGTTGTTGGGATGAACAGTGTACATTCGACCCAGTGCATCAGAAGAATATAAATTCGTTTGACCAGCGACTGGTGTCCCCTGCTTGCGTCTCTGGAAGTTCCTGGTGGATAGATTCCACGTGTAATATCCAGGGACTCCTGAATATAACAGGGATCTCGCGAAATCATCTTGAGCACACAAAGAAAAAATTCCGAGCAGGTTCGGCTGGAAGCCGAACCAGGGGTTCACGTGGGACACGCGTCTGCGGTTGTGACGGAATGATATAAATCGTTTATTCAATCTTATTTTTTCTAGAAATGTGTTCTGGTTGATGAGCTTATTCTAGAATAGTGAGTATTGCTCGGTGATGGCTGAAATAGGTGATATTTGTAAGAATTTCTTGGTACTGAATGTGTCTGGTGAAGATGAGATCTATAGTGGATTGACCGTTTGTGGTGGGTTGATCTGATATCGAAATGAGATTTGTATGGAAATATGAGTACATGAGGGTTGTCAGCTGTTCTTTGATACAGGGTTTGCTGATATCGCAATTGAAATCGCCGCATATAATTAGCGGTTCGTCCGCGTCGAATTTCCGTTTTGAATCGATGATTCCTTGGTGTCTTTTGAAGAAGTCGTTGATAGCTGGAAGATTTGTGCCTGGCGTAATGTATACGCAAACAAGTGTCGTTGATTGCCCGTTGATTAGAAATTGACTGCTGCAGAAATCGCCGCAATCTTCTTGTATCAATAGGGGTTGGGGTGAGTTCCGGTGGCATGGTTCTCCCACTCGTTTTCGTTCATATATTGCGACGCCTCCAGCTCGGATGGGTCGTTTATTGAGAGCGATTAGATTCAGGCCGTTCATCAATGTTGGGGTATCGTTGTCGTTCCACGTTTCGGTGAGGCAGAAGATCGTTGATTTCATAAGAACTGGGTCTGTCAAGAGGTCTTCGGCGTGCGCAGGCAAACTCTGGACGTTCAAGTTGAGTAGAACGATCTTGGCAGTTTCGAGTTTTTTGAGAATTTTCTGATCTTCAGTCTCGAGACAGTGAGCGTCCAATCGTTTGAGCTCGTCGCGCAGCTTCCGCAGGTCCGAAGTCAAGACTGGCCGAGCATGATAAAATTTGAAGTCGTCTTCAGCATTCGTCATGAATAATCCCTCCATGGATCTTACCCGGGATAAAGCTACATAAACCAATTGTTGTTGTAACCCTCGCGCGTAGTCGAACACTACGTTGTCGAAAGTGCTTCCTTGTGATTTATGTGTGATCAGGGCGCAAGCCAAAGTCAGAGGGAAATTCACACGTCGGCATCGGATGCCTTTGTTGTTCGGCACTTGGAAGCTTGCTGTTTTTTTATACAATGGTGTCCAATCGCGCTGGATAACTCGATGCGTCATGGCAATTGCTCGATGTTTCGATCTCGCGAGCGCTCCGATTTTGTGGTCCGTTCCAAAGTCCAACCACAGGCGGTTCATTTTTGATCCTGAACTCGTCGATGTCCCTGGTTGCGAGTTGTTGATATCGCTGTCATCATGATTGCTGAACTCGACGAATTTCAGGATGCCGATTACACCATTTGCTAGTGCATCCTCTACGTCAACATTACATGTTATCATATAGGGTTTGTCGAGGCAGAGTGGTAAATCGTACGTCAAGTTAGCGCTTTCCGATGTCGTCAGGCGATGAACTCGGGTACGGGCAGTTGCAATTAGACTCTGATCATTCGTACCGAAATACGCATCAGTCGCCGTTGCATGCCATTGGGCATCGACCGCTGTTCTGTTGTAATGATCGACGTCTACATTTTTGTGAAAGATTCGGATGACATCTTTGGCGTGTTCGAGGCACCATTGTCGAGTTCTGAACCTTGACTCGATTTGAGATTGTTCGTCGTCGTCAAGGTTGTCTCCGTTACCGATTTTAGTGAGGATTCGGGAAAACATTTCATCGCTTTGACGCATCACTTTCCGTAAGGGATAATAAGCCAGAGATTGCCAGAGTACTGACCGATGTATTCCCCGCTGCAACGGCTCGTAGATGGGTGTCATTTTCACCGGCGGCAATTGTCGAAGATCGCCGCTGAAGATGATGTCCATTCCGCCGAATGGCATATCGTGCTCCATGTTGATGATTTTGAACCTTTCATTAATGGTATGGAACAGTCCTGAACCAATCATACTAATTTCATCGATGAAAACAATCTTCACCTTCGCGAATGCATTGCGATAAAGTTGTAGTGATTCGAAAGAAAGGCCTCCGCGGCGCTGAATCACGGAAATGCTGAAAGCATTGTGGACCGTTGTTCCGTTTATGAGTACAGCTGCTTTTCCTGTTGAAGCTGCAGCCACGTACATGTTCCGGTCGGTATTATGAGTTGCTGCGAATCGGTTGTAAGTTTCCATTAGAAGTTTTAAGGTGAAGGTTTTACCGCTACCAGCGGGTCCTGTCAGGAATATTTGTACCGGTGGTATGGTCGGATCATGAATGCGAGCGAGGCAATGTTTCAGTAAGGCTCTTTGCTTAAAATTCGTGCTCCTCATCAACTCACAGTACTGAGCTGATGGTAGCACATTCGATCGTTTTTTGATTGTAGAAGGTAATGTCATAGGGACTGGAACATTGCGGATATCGTCATTGATGGGTTGCGCCAATAAATCTGTTGGGAGATCAGGAGTCTCGGAGTCTCGTTCATCGATGAGGGTGTCGTCTTGAATCATTTCATCCCATACTTCGTGTTGTTTGGCGATTCTATCTTCCAAGTCTTCGGTAACTTCGTAATTTTGGCGTCGGTTTTCGATTCCCAATTCATTCTCATCGTATAGAGCGAGGAACTTGTCACAATCTAGGAGGTCAGTGTGTTCATTATTGAAGGGATAGAATGAGAGTACCATGCTTCGCTTGTAGTGGATGACATCATCGATTTCGAATCGAGTCCATCGTATAACGCGTGAACGAGTTCGTTCATGGTATATCTGATGGCCTTCGGCGTCCCGTTTCCCCCGGACCGGTGTCATGTTAGCTGCAAAATCAGCCAAACACATGGTTAGCAATTCTGAGGGCCGATTTTCATACTTCTGGATGATGTCCGTCGCCCAGATGTCGGTGGAATTCGGTGCCAAGTCTTCGGATCTCATTTGTGCCAGTGATTTGCGACAGATGAATCGTTTGTTGGGAACATCTGTATTGATGAAAATCACTTCACGACTAGCTTCACTCATTGGTTGGTCGCAGTAAATACCAAGCTGCTTCTTGGGTAGTCATTTCCACTGCGTCGAGCAATCTGAGGCTGACTCTTTTCAGGAGTTCGGTATAGTCTCGATCCGGATATTGATTCTGGAGGTCTTTCAATTGCCTCTGTAGATTGGATATGCCTCGATTCGTTTTGTTGACGTATTCCACGACATATGACGCGCAACTATACTCTTCCAAGATGTATTGGAAATCCATGTTCGAGGCTAAAGTGTTAGCGATCCAGGGGTTAAAGGTATTGATCCAAATTTCGGTCATATCCCGTTTGAAAATGATTGTAGGGCGCTGAATGTCTGCTCTTATTATGTTGTAATATTCATCTGAATCCAGGCCGAAATCTGACCAGAAGGTCTCAATGCTCTCGTATTCGTTTTCTTCCAAGGCTCCTTTCATTGATCGAGCCTTTATTCGGAAATTCTTGCGCCGACCGTCATCTTTGGCCATTGGTAAGAGAATTCGAGTTGTGGGGGAGGGCCAAAAGGGTATGCCGAAACGACATTTTTCCGATTTTTGACGTGGTTTTTGAGAATTTTTGTAACAAGTGAAGGTATGTTGATGGACTTGGAGGGACGCGTGATCTGGGTTTATGATTGACTGCTTGACATCCACCGAGCACAATCGATCAATGAGCTCGATTGTTTGAGGCATTGTTTCCGAGACTTCTTCCTTCGGAACGTCGTTCAACCAGATGAGGGCATGCATATGCGGACTTCCTCGATGCTGGAATTCGATTCGTAAAAATGAATCAATGATATGGTTCCGGCCGAAAGGGCTGATTCGGTCAGATTGGAGAATACGCATGATTATATTCATCATTTTCCAGAAGTATACGCAGCATGTGACTGAATCTTCGTTGACGAGATAAGCTCTGTAAGCAGCAGAGAATTGCGATAACAGATTTTCGACGCCAACCGTGTTACCGGTTCGGAGTTTATGGAGGAGTCGTAATAAATTTGGCCATTTGATTTCATTTGCACTCATCGTGAGGAAGAACGTGGGCTTGCCGAGCTGGCGGATCATTGCAAACAAATCTTTTTTCCGGGACGACCAATATTGAACCGAGTTGGGTATCGATTTAAGGAATGCGAAGTTTTTGTCAACGCATTCATTGAGAAATCGCGGGTCTTCGATCATTTCTCGTGTGACGTTTTTTAAATGATCACTATTTCGGAACGTCGCGTACAGGCCTTTCGCTATCCTTAAGCGCATTATTTTCATAGCCATGTATAAGATATGCTCCGGTGATGCGCCACGTCGATCAGTTCGACGGATTTCACTCGTTGCTATCGAGAAAGGTGTCACGTTCACTCCCAGCCGGAATTCTCGAGGAACCCCATAATAGATATCAGGGAACGAGAGTTCTTCCGCATGCTCGTCGTAAACGACGTTGATGGGTATGGATTTCTGACCCGGAGCGAACTCGAAATATTTGTCTTCGTTCCACAACAGGGTTTGCTGGGATGCATAGAGCATTTCAGAATCATTCGCGGCATCAACTTCGTCAAGCTCTTCATTTTCAGCATCGGCAGCAGTTTCGCGCAGTCGGGCCCAGTCGATTTTGATTCCGTAGTGTCGGTACAATGGAGTGTCCTGAAGATATCCCAGCCACGCTCTGAGGTCTTCTATTTTGACGAGTCCCGAGTATGCCGTAGTTTTATGAATCATATGCTTCTTAAGAGACACGTTGAATGAGAAGTCTTCGGCGAGATTACGCGGTAGTTCCGAAATCATGGACTGTACGTCTACGGGTACATTGATGATTTGTCCAACGATTCTGTATGGCCCGGTGCCCCATCTCAAACGACGAATCTGCATAAATGGAATCCGCGGGCTGATCAAGCGCGTCGTGATTGCATTCAGCTCGGGTAAATTGAGGGGCTTCGGTGGATATCGGAAGCCATTGTAGGTGGCCAGTTTTGGAATTCTACCCTCACTCAAAGAATCGTAGCAAGTATGGCACAATCGGGCGTCCTGAGCGGAACATCCGATTTTCTCCATGATTGCCCGATGGATAGGGCGAGCCAGCTGTAAATCGTTTCGGAACCATAATCTATCGCAGACGGAGCACGAATGACCATAGTCTTGATCGAGGAAGCCTTTGACGAATTCTTCAGTTGCCGGTGATGACCGATAAGGGTGTAAAGTTGGCGAATTGTTGGGGAGCTCAGCGCCCGCAATGAGCCGCTGTCGAACTTTTTTTCGCTCTCGACTTCTCCGCTTGCGCTCTGCGCCTGAGAGAGGCTTCGTCTTGGGCTTCGCGACTCGTTGACGGTATGATCGCATCCGTTCGGCAGAGGATCGCGCTGTGGAAATACTAGGAATCCCTCCGAGTTCATCTCTCTGATTGTCATTCACTGTCCTATCCAAATCCTGGACGTAGACTGAGTTCGACGATGGTGAAGGTGATGAAGTATCGGTTCCAATTCGTCCACGCTGTACGTCCTCTTCGGATGCCATCACTAACGCTGAAGATCACTTGTGTCCTCAAAATTCACGCCACTCGAATGGCGAAATTCCTTAATGAGAAATTTTTGAGAAGTCGGAATCAATGCTCTCAATGGAAGCGGAGCTGAAGCAGCAATACTTGGACGGCGCGGTTTCCAAGTTGCTATGGACGGTTGTCGCTTGAAATCTGCTACGGCTAACGGCTAACGGTCATGAAACTTTCGTTATGGCGTTAGGACTTTGGTGTTGATGCGCAGTGTTCGCGCAAGATCGGCACCGGAGCATAACTAAAACAGCTACATAGTTCGCATCGCACGAGTAGTTCAGGTTCCTATCATCATGCTGAGACGTAAGTCTACACGAGGAAAAGGAGTTGCGGAGGATGAAGTTCGTGACGTCCGCACGAGCCGAATGAAAGTGAAATCTGCGGCAACGAAAACCGTGAACTCAACTCGTGGATCTGACCGTGTCGCCAACATAAATGGAGGCAAAACGACAGCAAAGGGTAGTACCAAGGCGGCGAGGATTAGTAAGGCTGTCATGACAGGTCGGATAAAGGAAAGCCTTCCTTCAGACAGACTCGGAGCTCCTCTCGACAGACCAGGTACTTCGAAAGATGTTCGCGTTCCAACAGGTCGGCTTTCCTCAGGACCCAAGGTCAGATCCAGGATATCAAAGAATGCCAGCAACCCTACTGATCGATCATCCACGAAAAATCCGAAAGGTGCAAAGGGGAAGTGGAGAGAATTCGAAGACAAAAACCCTGCGACTGCGGTCTCCACGAGCAAACGGTGTCCGGAGTTGAATATTTCAAGAGGGCCTTATCGTCAGACGGAAATTCCTCATGGAACTTGCAGGAAAACGAAAATGAGTTCGAAGACCGATACCAATTCATCCTCTACTGCAATTGTGATTAACGACGATGACGACGATGATGGCGTCGGCGAGGACTCTTCAGTGGCGGACTCAATTCTCGTGGAGAAAGAAGCTCCGACCTCGTCAAGCGCAATTTTGAAAGCAGCGATAGACAGCTCAATCCAAGAAAGCAATCGTGTTCCCAACATCATTTCCTCACGAGAGCTTGGGAAGAACAGAATGAGTGCCTGCTCAGCGGCGTCTTCCGTCATCG